TTCTCTCACCTTACGTAACTTTTAAAAGCATGAAATCCCATAAAGCTCGCAACACGCATTACGTGACCGAAATAAAGTTTTAGTTTCAAGACATTTCTGTGGAACGCGTACTTAGCAATTAATATCCTCTATTAGCGTGCACTTCGATCATCTGAGACGCCTTGGAATTCTCAGAACTCTTCCATTAGTACAGATCAAAATAATCAAGTTTTTTTTCTTCTTCTTTATATTACACTTTATTTTATTATCCCACAGCTTGACCAGCTTGTCTGCACGAATGTTTCAGAGCCTCAAACGATTCGATCGTTTCCTCTGCTTTTAAGTGGTTCTATGGCACGCCTTACAGCAAGTCGCTCTATATATGGTCGTCTAGCCTAGGCTGTCTAGTTAGGAGCCCCTAAACATGCTGTCGCTCAAATATTCTATAATATTTTATGTCCCCAGAAGCCTAACACTAGTTCTTTAGCCCACAATTTTTGTTTTAGGTACTCGCAATTGTTGCAATGGTTTCCCTAAAGTCTACAAGCGGGTCCATTCCAAGCCACAAACATTATTTACATTGGCGTAAATCTTACAACGCCAACATTTGTTGTTCTTGTATTTTACAGTTCCCTCCGCGATGGCCTAGTGGCTAAAGCACTCGGCTGCTGACTCGCAGGACGCGGGATCGAATACCGCCCGTGGCGGCCGCGTTTCCCATGAAGGAGAAAATGCTTGAGGCCCATATGCTTGGATTTAATTGCACGTTAAAAAAAAATTGGCCCGAACCTACATGCTCTACTGTAAATGTCGTCTAAAGACCATAGTCTTGCGTCTGGAGAGAGTGAACAAAACGTTTATTTGATGTTTTCCGCAAGAAAATCGGTGAATGGTATTCTGAAGGCGCTGCGTTAGAGTGCCTCGAGCGTGTAGTGGAGGCGAACAAGCGCGTCTAGGCACGTTAGACACGAGCACCATCTGGCAGTTATCTTCGAAACCGAAGGCGTGCGCGACCGCGGAGAAAGATGCGCGCCAGTCTCGGAGGTGATAAGGTGTCGAATTCAAAGCGACGGGCAGGTGCCACCACCGTGCCGTCGTAGCAAAGCGTTGGAAACACCTTTTTGAGCATTGCGTTTCACTGTCACCGCAGCTCGATAAACGCTACAGTCCTTAGAACTACTTGCGTGTGCCTCTTCTAATATAAAGGCAGACATACAAAACATAGACGTGTTGTTATGGCGCCTCAGATATGCGCAATAATTGTTTTTTAATTGACAACCGCACAACTATGAACGCTAAACCTTGAGCAATATTGGTGGGCGCTGCGGATGGGGTTGGCCGTTTAGTGCCGTTTGAGATATCGTCAGCAAGGACAAACAGAAAAATGTACAGACAGACAGACAGACAGACAGACAGACAGACCAAAATTTTTTCGTCGAAAGTCCCCAAGAAAAACTCTCGTCTCTAAAACTCTAGGTGGTCAAAAGTGTCGGTGTCCTAGGCTACGGCATCCTTCGTAATCATACGGTAGTTTGGGCACGTTAAACCTAATGTATGTTTGGCTATGGCCGGACTGGAACCGTGGAAAAGCGTTCCCGCGCCTTTCCAGTCTGGCCGTGTGGTTCGGCATTCCCTTCGCAGAAATACATACAAGCGTCTTCCCTGCGCATAGTGAAAATAATGAGATCATCGTCGGACTAGTTAACTAGCCTCATCATCGATTGGTATACGGCGCATGTAATCGCGACGCAGAAGCGCTTGCCGTCTTTACTACCTTAAGATCTGTGCTCACGGAATTATCGGAACGCGGGGTAATCTCACCTGTATATATAAATATATGCGCATTCTATATATAATACGTAAATAATCGCCCCCTCTTGCAGCCATTTTAAATTTGGATAAGGAGCTCGTAGTGGTCTCAATACGGTACCAAATTTCTTGCGAGAGCCTGTCATATTTTTATGCGATAGCGTAAAGAGATTGTTTTGCAGAAATTTCGCCGTCGGTGTTGAGTGAAAAATCATCATCTTTGCGTTACCGAAAACGCTAAAGTGATGCAAATTAAGTAAATAGAAGAAAAAGTAAAAAAGAAAGGTTTGGTCTGAGTGCGAATCGAAACCGGGTCGTTTCCGTGGCAAGTGGGTGTTTTACCACACAGCCATGCCTGTGCGTGTGGAATACTGTGAAAATTACGTCTTCTGCTTGGAAATGAACTGAAGGTAACTTTCGTGCTTTGAAAACACACGTGTATTGTAACATGCTTCACAGTGCAACATCAAATAGGGCCGTAATTATGCGTGGTACAAGCGTACATTGCCATTGGGCGTCAGAACATGGGTCATACTAACTTCATAGTTTAAAGCCAGTCACCCCCTGAAAAAGGCACACACGCTACTTAAGGCCACGTAGTGGGTGTATAGACAGTTCGAAAATGTTTCATACACTATAGGGTTTTAAAGTACGCCCTAGGAACAGAGTATCGCTATATCGCGTTCAACACTTAAAGGCGAAGCGAGTCCGCAAAAAACATTTGCGAGTCCGCGAATGTTTTGCCGCTGTCATTCGTGCAGACGACTTTTCTGCAGTTCACTTAACTACTGAGCAGTTTAAGGGACCAAATATCCCCAGTCCTCCCCTACAGCGTCTCTCATATTCATATGGTGCTTTTGGGACGTTCAATCCCACGTATCAACTATACTCATTTTAAGGGATCACCCTGTTGCTCAGTTTCGTGTACTGCGTCGTCGTCACGCAGGTTTTGTCTCGGACATTTGGTGCCATACACGTTTGGTAAACATAAGTCGAGCAAGCTGCGCATCTTGAACGCCCACGCTTTCTTGCCCGTGAGGGCCAGCATCGCCGGAGAGCTAATTAGTATGTTCAAGGCAGTGGAGTGACAGCGAAGCGCTAGGCCATAGATTTGCGTCGGGAGTTAGACGCAAATCTATGGAATATAATCGCAACGTAAAATGAGACAATCACAGGAAATGAACAGAAAAGTGATGGAAAATATCGCAGAATGCCACGAACACAAAATGAAAGAAAATAAATGCAGGAAAAAGAAAAAGAACAGAGAAGTGCAGATAAACACTGAATTGATAAACACCGAAGAGCTCTAGTACTACTCCCTGCACCCCATACTGCCTACGTATGGGGCGCAGGGAGTAGCTCTATAGTTCATTAAAAACTACCTGAGTCACCAGCATTAAGTTGTGCAAGTAAAGAACGCCACATCATCGAAACTAACCGCAACACAGGGAGTTTTACCGGGGTCAATACTGGGACCTTTTTCTATTCCTTGTTCACATTAATGATATTGTAGCTATATATAACTCTCCTGAAGTTATTATGTATGCCGATGACACCATCTCTTTTTTTTAAATCCACAGACTCAAAAGGTACGGAAACTGAGATCAATCAGTACCTTGTATCGCTCTCGGCTTGGCTAAGACAAAATAGGCTGCAACCTAATATAGCAAAAACAATGTTATATTTCGTGCTCTAAACAAAAATATCAACCAGGAAATAGCCCTAACTTTTCAAGGGCAACAGTTAACCAGGGTTAAAGAGCAAAAGTTTCTTGAGGTCTGATTCCATGAGCACCTTTAATGGAATGCTCAACTTAATAATTTAGTTACCGAACTATCCAGAACTGTTGGATGCTTGTATAAAATTGCCCCCTTAGTACCTATCTGGCTGAAACAAAACTTGTATAATTCATTTCTATTTGAGACTATCCTACGAAACAATAGTTTGGGGTACCAGAACAAAAACCAACTACAACAAGCTTATTCTTCTACAAAAGAGGATATTGCGCATTTATGTAAACTATCAGCGACCATGTTACCAACTAACCACGTCACCGATCCGATATTTTTGATATATCGAATGCTTCAACAAGCCAAGTTTCTGATTTCAAATTATTACAGCATATGCATACCAATGCACTACATATATAGATAGCAGCAGTAACGAAGTCCCATACGATGTGAGACTGAAGAGAAGACGGACACTAAAAACAAGGACTACCTATAGTAAACAAACAACCAGCTACCAAGTGCTAACAATCTTAAATAAGCAAGAAGGTAATATTGACTTCAACACGACTAGAAATGCATTCGAAAATAATATACAGGAAATGTTACTAACCGAGGGATGAGAGAGTGATTGTTAATACATTATGTGTATGTGTGTGAATATATGTGCCTGCACATATGTGTATGTGTACATATATATAAACATGTATAGATTTTTTCCATAATAATTATGTATATGCTCACATTCGTATCTTCATCTCTGTATACTGTTGTAATTTATAAGTTCAGCGCTGCGTCTTACCGTTCTTTATATTAGTTGTTTTATTCCTCCTAATAGCGTTTTTTTTTCTATACTATGCCCCATGTTTTGAAGAAAATAGTAGCACAATAACTATGCGAGCGCAATGGTGTGCAAGTTTTTTTCCCTGTATTATTGTATCGCAAATTATTACGATTTTCTCTCTGTGTTTTTCGTTCACTGTCTATGAAGTACCACTACATATTGCAATATGGTGTATTAATGTGTTTATGGGCGCAGGGGGCCCCTGTCAGGTGCTGCTCACCTTCAGCTCCTGTACCTTTCTTGCAAAAAAGTATTCAAGATGAAATAAAGATTCATTTATTCATTCATTCATCCATAAAGATAAGGAAAAACACACAGTGAAATCACTGCTGCACAGTTCGTATACAGCTCACAGCAGTGGTGTAGCCAGGAGGTGACACACCAGGCCCATGCCCCCCTCCCCCCTGAAATTTCTTTTTTTGCCATGACATAAAAAGCGGAAAATGACCATTTGAAGGGGGTGCTCTATCTGAAATCAAAGAGCCCCTCTCCAACCCCCCCCCCCCCCGAAAAAAATCTGGCTACGCCCTCACAGTTAGGGTGGAACTCTACTAGATTTTATTCCTTACTTCACCCTATTTCTCACCAAATTTCGGGGAGTGACCCAACCTTTATTTTTCTCTCCCTCTTTTCTCTCGCAGAAGACTTCTTCGAAGAAGATCTTCAAGCGCACCGTCATCAAGGCCTGTCGCTACGTAAGCCTGGGGGCCCTGTGCTCCTCGCCGGTCCTTGTGACGTCGTTCCCCACCGAGCCCAACTTGGCGACGTCACACCGCTCCTCCTGGTCCGCGTGGACGGAGCCCGTCACGTGGACTCACGGAGCGCAGATGTACATGCAATGAGCGCCGAGGGCCGCCCGCCGCTATACGTGAAACCGCGCCAAGCCGTGAACTGTGCGTGCCCGAGGAGTGCAGGACATCCCTGTGTGATGTCACTTCTTCGATATGTGACATCTCATGTTCGGTTGTCACTCAGCCAAAACTACACCAGCAGTGGTCCACTTTAGTACATTTGTATAGGTTTACCGGGTCGCGTAATAATGGTTAAACACATATGTTGTTAGTCGTTTACCACTCGTCCTGTTACGCAGATCTCAGTGCTAAGATTTACGGCGTTGTATTACTGGGCGTTACTTCTCTTACCGTCTGCTAAATGTTTATTCTATTCAAATGTGTGTCCACATTGTACACATTACAGCTGTGTGTCATGCGACTCAATTACACAATACGATAGGGACAGAATTCATGTCAGTTATGTCAGTCCTTCCTTATCTATCCATGTCCTACATTGAAGTTGTCTTGCCTGTAGGCCATATCATTCTGCCTTCCGGTACACTTTTAGAGTGGTTCTCCCTACTGTGCTGATGATGTAAACGTTTTCCGCGATATTCGATAAAAAAAAAATGTATCCAACCTGTCTCAACGTGGGGCTTTGCCGATCTTTGTTTCATATGTCCTTATAGTTTGAATTGCCACCCAGTTATTCATGTCAATTACCCATTTATCATTTACCGTATGTCAATTGTCCATGTTGGTATCAACAACAATTTCGCTCACCTGCTTAAATTGCTAAATTTCTGGAACTTACTCAAAGCGTCCACTTTTTTCTGCTCCAGTCGGTCTTTGCCGTAACCTGACTTTCCTTGCTGTTTTCTTTTTTGTGTGTGATAGAACTGTATTTCACAAGTCACATCATTGTGACCCAACAAGCTATCTTCATCCTCAAACTTTTTAATTCAGTGTGCGTGGCTTGCACCTTTCTTACAATGAGTCGTTTTTGCTCCGTATACTTTCTTGCCATGCGCACGTGGTTTGGTATATCCGCATGTGTACTGCAATAAACTTTCTTATCTTTAGATTTATAGCCGTTATCTCAGCAGATAAAGCATCACCGGCCATATACGGCTTCTTTCTATGCTCAGGCAGCCAGCTTGTCTTGAAACATCGTGAACATCGTGAGCCGGAAATAAAGCCGTTGAAGAAAGTATTACGCCCACCGCGGTGGTCTAGTGGCTAAGGTACTCGGCTGCTGACCCGCAGGTCGCGGGTTCAAATCCCGGCTGCGGCGGCTGCATTTCCGATGGAGGCGGAGATGTAGTAGGCCCGTGTGCTCAGGTGTGCGTGCACGCTAAAGAACCCCAGGTAGTAAAAAATTTCTGGAGCCTTCCACTACGGCATCTCTCAGAATCTTATGGTGGTTTTGGGACGTTAAACCACACATATCAATCAATCATATTTTCCGTCTTATCGTGGCCTATCAAACTCTCTTCTGATTGCTGAACGTAAGTGCAACCAAGGAGAGCGTGAATATAAATTCAGTTCATGGTTATCACGGAGTTTATCATTATCACTGCGGGGACATTGCACCTTGTTAGGCAGCTGCGAACTTCCCAGCCTTTTGCTGACTAGCCTTCGCCGGGAACAGATACGTTATCCACGTAGCCGATAGGGACATAACAAATGATCTTCTGTACGTCGGTTCGTCAATGCTGCTACAGTACCGATACTTTTTTTTGTTTTCATTTTGCCTTTGACAAGACTTTGAACGGATACTTTCGTGTGCATTGATAAGGGTTCTTAGAGTGGCACTCGAGGGTTCGAAGATAATATCAACTAACTACTATCGACGAAGACCGGATGCTAGGCTGTTGAACGTATGTGGTAGTTGACAGAGGAGCTGTAAAGCTCGTTTAACTTTCGAGTGTAAACGCCTGTGTCAGTCACCCAAACGCCCACACGTATAGAGAAACAGTCTCGCCTGCCCTGACGACATTAGGACACTCGAAACGAGCATTCACATTTCAATTAGATTGGCTATGATTCGACGCTTTTATGTACTTTTACGGCTTGTATTAAATACGAAATTATTATAAATTGTATTTATTTATTTCTTGCACACTTTTTATTACGTCAGCTGTTGCCGTGGTAGCCGCTGGAGGCATTTAGCCAGGGTCGCCTAATGACATGCACGTAGGACCTTAACCGCGCGCGTCGGACTGCGTGAAGAGAGTACCAGCCAAATATGCAGTTTGTTAGCCCTCGTTTTATATTATATTTAAAAATGAGCTGTGTAGTTATCATGTAGTAGTGATATATAACGTTCATAACCGCAATGTCGGTGCGATGCCATCTGCTGTATCGCCTACAGTTTGTATATTCTCTGTGTTGCAACCTTCAGATGCTGAACATACTACGCACCACTCGGGTCGCTGGTATGGTCTGTATATAAGTGTACATACAATACAAAGTTTCTGTTTGTACAGTGTGAAATGCATTCAGTCCGATTGCTCGGCTGCTTTTAAGCTTGCGCCTGGGCTCTGTTTATGTAAGCGCCGGCTCAAAGATTGAAACGAGCGAGTGATCAGTGAATAACTTTTTTTTTTCATTTGTACGAGAGATTCAACTTGTCAAAATAAACGTGCATGGTTTGTTTGTTTTTCTTGTTACAATAAAACTGTGTGTTTGCGATTCGTTTGCCTTGTGTGTCTCGCTCGAGCACGTAATACTGAAAAAAAGCACTCGAGAAGGTTGCCGTCCTTAAAGTGAGTTCCTGTTGCCGGTCGGTAACTAACCTATGCGCGTGGAATAAGTATTTATTATTGATAACGATATATGCAGCATTACGCGCCCAAACCGGTTTAAGATTATTAGGCATGCCCTTGTTCTTCAACCTGCACTAACGCAGCACAGTACACGGGCCTTCCGCCTTCATCAATTAAAATGCGACCGTCGCTCGTGGAATCGAACCCGCAACCTTTGCGGGAAGAGACGAGCACCGTAACTACAGTGACATCACGGTGGACTATCTGTAAAAAAACACTTCTGAGCGTGTGCCCTTCTAGTCGGCTATGAGGTTCACGTGTGGTAGAGAAAAGATTATCCGATCTGCCCGGAGGACTTCCAGAATTTCATATTGCGTTTTGGGTCGGTCACTCTTTCCTGCTTCCTTGTTCACTGAGGTGTGGGTCGATCGGGCGAATCTCGGTGCAAGAGATCTGGAGAAAGCCCGCCAGTGGTTTTAATTGTACTCCTACCTCAACTTCCCTTTTCAAATGCCCATGATGCTGGTGTGAGCTTCGCAAATAGATTATAAAGAGGAGTTTACGAACAGTGAATTCTAGAACTGATGCGGATCGAATCGCTATAACATCGAATATGAATACGAATTTAATAACATTCGAATAGTTTTCGAATAGTAAGGGGACCATTTCCAAAGCAGCCCTATAACGCCTATGTGACTGTATTCGAAACAGATCGTGAATTCCCCAAGATTTTATTAGAAACAAGTACACACAAGCTTTGTCAAAAGAGTATACTTTGATTACATTTAGCCGATAAAAATATCACATAAAAATTACGTAAACTGACGCAATACCGTACATCACCAACTAGAACTTCAGAAATATTTTGTAATGGCAAGTGAAATTCATATGTGACGACCAGTGTTGGGTGCGCTACAGAAAAAAGTTATTAATTACGTTACTCGTTACACTTAAGAAAAACGAACGCGTTGCTGCTGTGCCTAACCTGAAAAATAGGTTAACGCGTTTATTTACCAAAAAAAAAGTAAGGGCAGTTACTTCCTTCGTTATTCCATAGTAAGAAATCTTCTTTTTAAGATCCTACAGTAGATACCAATTTCTTATTTAAATCAATGAGTTTACTAAACATAATTTAGCGGGAACTCTGGCGCTAGTGTCTATGGAAGCTGTAACGCAACCATGACGCTTAAGCGATCATGGGAATCATAGGTAGTACACGAATTTGCCTATATAGTCTTCATACTTTATGTTCTATCTGGCTTCGTGTAGCTTGAAGCTGCTTTGTCACGAAACAACCATCGGCAAATGTTCGGCAGGTGCGCTTCACCACTTCAAGTAAGCTCACTAAGTTCGAAATGGTTCGTTATTTTATTCGAAACATTGTAAAACAGCAATAAACGAAGCTACAAGTGTGATTAGCCGCCCGAAAGCATGAAGACTAGGCGAATCCATGTCATAGCTATAATTTCCACGGTCAGTGAATGAACGCAGTTGCAGAGTCCCCTCTAGTTAATTTTAAGAAACTATACGATTAGGATGTAACATTTATGTGGTCGCCCAAGCGAAAATGTAAACCCAAGCAGTGATTAAATGGGAGGAATTTTCACAAATGTGCAGCATCATTGTAGCACTATAGTGGCCTAAATTTTCCTGCATAATTACATGTGCTGACTTCTAAATCTGCGCATGGTGAAGCTATTTTTTTAAAATGGTCACTAAACGCAGAGTGATCGATTTCATCATTAATGGCTTCCGCAATGCAAACATGACTGAAGAAACTTGCAGTAGTTATGACAACGTGCTTCTATCAAAATCAATGCGCATATTGTGTAGCAATGAAGGAATGTTTTATTGGCATAAATGTGGAGATATGTATCAGTGCGTTCCCCCCTTCCCGTTTCTTCTTTGCGCATCGGTACTTTACTAGTGGCAAGTTTTCTGATCAGCATGCGCACGACAAGAGTTTACTATATATGACCCTCCTAAAGCGATTTTCGAAAATTATGGACCATCTCTTCGAAGGGGAAGCCTGATAAGATGTGAAGCAGCAGCGGTGCACACGGCCTTGACCCGCTTTAAACGGGCGTCGACGCAGGTGCTGGAAGAACGGTTTGAAGCGAAACTTGGTGTAGCGTTTACTCGAGTAAATGTTTGTTTGAAACGTATAGACAAGGGAGGCGGGTTGCGTTTCGTCACCTTTCGTGTAAGTTTCATCGCGGATAAACGAGTCGAAAGAGTATTTCCACAGGGCGTGTGGTTGAGCGTTGCGGCCAGTGGAGAGGGTGAAGCAGGAGAGAACTGTGTTGCGAACGGGTGTAGGAGCCGGCAGCTGCGGGCGCTGTGGTGAGTGTGCTGTCCATGAGGGAGAGAGTGAAGTCAGCGTGCACCTGCGAGGGAAGCGTGCAAGGGAAGCATGACGCCAACGCCCATCTGCGGCGTGACCTACTTGGCACCGCTCCAGTACCTGCAGTGAGGGCATGCCTTGCGGCGCGTTCATATGGACGCACGTACGTACAGCGTTACACACGTGAGTCAAAGAGCTGCTTCGCAAATAAAGAACTCCGACGTGTGGGCATTTCTACTGGAAGGGGGAAATGTCACATATCAACTCACTGCTGCTAATCAAATTAACATTCGCGCTCCTAGTGGGCAAACAAAGTCGCCTTTTCGGAAGTGGTTGCGCTGAACACGTGCGCCAGATTTCTGTTTGTTGCTCTGTCTAAGCTTCATGAACAGTTCACTGTGATATTCATTATCCCTGAGATTAAAGCTTTAAATATAGAAAGGTACAACCTACTCATTTGCATACAGTGGTGCATCAATCAGCGGCGCTACCAGCTCCAGCGTTGCAGAGCAGGTTGCCATTGTCCTTGCATTAACGAACAGCGTACATGACATAACTTATTCAAACTCCAAGGCTGCTATCAAGGTGTTTTAAATGGGTACGGTGGCTGCCCACGTTCTACAGAATCTTAAAAAGGCCAATGACCTCAAAAATGACTAATTGGTTTGGTTTTCTGCTCACCTTGGACCAATTGAGGGTGCTTCGATCAATCCGAACGAGGAGGTGCATTCGGCTGCACGAGGTTTGACTGACCGTGTGCCGGGTAACGCGTCGTCTCCTGGGCGATCCGAGCATCTCTACACGTACAACGAGATATGCAAGCACCATTATCTCTCAAGAAGAGTGCTGCCCCTGCCACACTCCTCGCTGCGCAGGGCCCAAGCTGTTACTCCCAGACTGTTCCAAACAAAAACCTACCCGAGTGCTTAGCCACTGCACACAATATAGCCCCGAACAATTCTCAAGCCCGAATTGCCTCTTGTGTGGTGGTTATGCTAATTTCGAGCGTGTCCTGTGGGGCTGTGCCTTTGCCGGTCGCCTTTTCCAAGAAGAGGAAAAAAAACAAGCTTATCAAGGCCCAGGACCTCACCTATCAAATCCTGGCCGTCCAGGGAGCCCGTGTGAGGGTAGTCAGGTTTAACCTGACCATCACCGAGTGGGCCTAGCCAGGTGACGCTGAGTTAACTCCCGTCTATTGTGGACACAATAAAGTTACTTCACTCACTCATTCACACAGCCCCAGAGCACCATGCGGCCGTAAAAATTAGTCATTTATTCCAAGCTCATACTTCTAACGTGCGCGCTCATGAATTGCTTTTGAAATGAGTCTGATTTCGATCACCAGGCTGCGACGAGGCTGAAAAAAAAAATGCTCTCAGGCAGCCGGCTTCCGGCATCTTAGCTAGGTTCCATGAAGCAAGACGGCATCAAGAAGGCACCATCCAATTTCAACGACCGTATCTCCGGCAGTGAACCACGGGTACGATGTCACTAAACAGATGAAGGCAGTGGAACTGTGACGACAAATTATCTTATTACAATCACATGCATGCCAATGTTACTGTGAGCATTAGCAAGCAAGAAAGTAGCGGAAAAATGGAAGGATATACCACCGTCGCTCAAATATATTGAAGGCCTATGGATCTACTAAAGCCCCCTCAACTTTCTCGCAGCGATCACCAACGCAGTCTGAATCAGAAATCTTTATTATTTCCATGAAATCCAGTTATTGCGATTGAGTATACAGGAGAAGGTCCCGGAGTCAAAGACAGAATTGGGATCTCCCTTGTGCAGGCTAAACATGGAGAAAAGTGTAACGTTTGCATCGACAGGAAGGAGGAAAAGTTTCAATGTGCATTTTGAGAACAGTGGTTACGAAAAATTCTAATACTTAACATAACAAAAAAAGAAAACATGCGATACACCTGAAAGAGAAAAAAAAGGTTTGCAATATATACAAAAGTTTTAAAAACGACACCAAAGTATATTTAAGGGCTGTGCAAATGGAAAGTTATTTGAAAATATGTTGATTGATAAGGAACGTCTTTAATTTTTTGAGAAATGAGCTTAGAATCACTGATTTTATGACAGATGCCAATGAGTTTCATTGGGAAAACGCACTGAAATGAGGGATTTGCTTACCGTGGTCAGTTTCGATTCTGAGCAAAATGAAGCTATTGTGTAAAGCAAATCTAGTGTTGTTAGGGTTAAAAAATAAAAAAGAGGCGATAGAAATGGCACAGCTATTTCTGATTTGTTTAAATAACCAGAACGCTAGATTTTATTTAACTGTATCGTGCATTGTAAGAACATTATACGCGTAGAACAACTGTTTGGAACTGCTGTTAGGTGAGGTAGAAGTTACTATCCTGATTGCTTTGCTCTATGAAATTTTAGGTTTCTCTCGAGTCTGACACGCCAGTAAACGCAGTCATTGCTGGCATGGATCAAATGATGAAGAATAGAAAATCTAGGAGCGGGTACTAGCGAGATTTCCAGTTCGCGATCTGTCGAGAGTCATCGTGGTATCCGCCCCAATCGCTTTTATTTTTGCTTCTGTCGATGAGCGCGGTGGGGATG